TATTATTTTGAACATCTACACTCCTTTTGATAATATGAAGTCTTAAGCAGATTCGTAATGTGTATTATGACTTGTGCAAATTGTTGGCTTTGGTTTTCCGATGATTCAGGATTTAATTGAAAGAACAATCCTTATTTAGAAGCTTAAATGAAAAGAGTTGACCGATTTGACTTTTTGTGCAAATGACTCCGTAATAAAGTTTTGATGGTTCCAATAGCTCCGTGTGGTGATTTTAGACTTAGGAGTGTTTCCGGATATTCATTTTGAAGTCCGTAGTTAAATTTGGCTTGAAATGACGAAAATAGGAAATTTAAAGTTTGGAAGTTTGAACGGGGAGTTGACTTTCTGATATCAGGGTGAAAATCATATTCTGAAAATTTGAATAGCTTCATTATATCATTTATGACTTGTACGCAAAATTTGAGTTCATTCCGAATTGATTTGATATTTTTCGGCGCGAGGTTTGAAAGTTGAAAGATTTAAAGTTCATTAAGTTTGAATTGGGGTATGATTCGTGATTTTAGTGTTGTTTGATATAATTTGAGGTATCGACTAATTTCGTATGATACTTTAGGACTTATTAATATATTTGGTTGAGGTCCCGAGGGCCTCGGGTGGATTTCGGATGGTTAACGGAATTTAATTTGAATATTTCTAGAATGCTTCGACGTCGTTTCTTCAAGCATAAGTGGTATTGCATTAATAAAATGAAATCCAAATTCAGTTTTGGAAGAATTAGATCCGTATTGAAATTACGGAGCCATAGTAAAAAAGAATCGTCGAATTCGGACATCGTATGAGAGAGTTATGCCCATTTCCGTGTCGGGAATGATTTTCCATCGCCGCTAGTGCCCAGGGTAGCGTGGGGCGCTAGCCCTGGTGCGGGGAATTTTTGGGATGCTGGAAAATGCGGCACAGGCAGCGCCCCACGACAGCTGTGGCGCTCGAACACTAAAAATCCCTATAAACGGGAGGTTTTCTCCATTTTTGACGAAAACAAAGTTGGGGAGCTCGGTTTGGGCAATTTTCAGAGGCAAATTTCACCACACAACTTGGGGTAAGTGTTATTGACTCCCTTGTGATTATATTCCATGAATTAATCTTCATTTTTAATGTTAGATTATTGATTTTTTTAGAAAAATCGGAGGAATTTTCTACAATTCCATAAAATAAACTTTCGAGATTTGAATATCGATTCAGAGTCGGATTTTAGTAAAATTAGTATGGTTGGACTCATAATTGAATGGGTTGTCAGATTTTATAAGTTTCATCGGATTCCGAGACGTGATCCCCACTGTCGATATTTTGAGCGGAGTTGGGAATTTTTGTAAATTATTAAATTGTAAGCATTAGAGTAAATTGTGATTAATTTGCACGTTGTTTAAATAGATACGAATCGTTTGGCTTGAATTGAGGAGATAGGAAGGCATATGGAGGTTGATACTCGCGGAATGGATTTTTCGAAGTATTGTACAACTTGCTCGGTATTGGATTTGGCTTACTCGAGGTAAGTAACATCTCTAATCTTAGAGCTGAGGGTATGAACCCTGATTATACGTGTTATGTGAATTATTTGGAGGTGACGCACATGCTAGGTGACGGGCGTATGGGCGTGCACCGAAGAAATTGAGACTCAGTTGATTCCGTAGAGTTGTATAGTCAATTAACTTGTATTTTTTCCATGTATTTTTTATGTGTTAGAGAACCTGAGTTGTGACTTATGTTAAAAATCATGCTTACGGTAATGTTGGTATTATTGGGACCCACTGAGGTCATTTCTACTGTCAAATTATATGTTTAAACTGTAATTTTATACTCAGTCAGATTCATTCATTGCATATCATATCTCAGTCTCTGTTGTTATTTATTGATACATCATATCATTATTTCGGGCTAGTTTCATGATATTGTGAGCCCGAGAGACTGGAAAGATTGATGACTGAGTGAGGCCAGGGGCCTAATTGTGAGGATAATTATAGGATCGAGCTGCACGCCGCAGCAGGCCAGATTGACTTATTATAGCACTTGAGTTGTTCATGCAGCACGTGAGTTGTCCGTGCAGCACGTGAGTTGTCCGTGCAGCACGTGAGTTGTCCGTACGGATCCAGATATTGATACTATAGTACATGAGTTGTCCGTGCAGATTATAACGCTTGGGCTGAAGGAACCCCTCCGGAGTCTGTACACACCCCCAGTGAGCGCAGGTACCTACTGAGTGCGAGGGCCGAGCGATTGGGAGGATTTAGTGACTATGAGGACTGAGTGACTAGGAGGACCGAGTGAAATGATACTCTGAGAGTATGCATATGGTTTTATTACTGAGTTGCATCGCATTGACATACACACTTGACATACATGCATAGAGATGCATTTTTCCTCATGCTGTACGATATTGCGTCATTTATGACTTTACATACTTATGGACATGTAGGCATAGAGATGTATTTTCCTCATGCCATTTGAAAATGAAACATCCTATCTGTTGTTGAAAAGTTTTTGGAAAAAATTACAGTTTTACAAAACGTACTCATATTTTGGTGATTTTGGTAAATGATTTTGGTTTTCGCTGAAATACTTGAAAAGCAGGCCTATTTTTATGGAACTGTGAACGAACTGAGCATTTTATCTCTGAGCTACTTCTTTTATTACTTCCATTATGTTGTTATGAAATATTGTTGTCTATTGGTGTTGGACCCCGACTTGTGTTCCAGCTCGTCACTACTTTCAACCTAAGGTTAGGTTTGTTACTTATTGAGTACATAGGGTCGGTTGTACTCATACTATACTTCTACACCTTGCGTGCAGATATTGGATGTTGATGTTGCTGTGATCGACGGTTGCTGGATTTGAAGACGTACCTGCGTTTCGGTTGTAGCTGCCTCTTGTTCATGGTAGCCATAGATTTATAAAAATCTGTTTATGTACGCTTCGAACAGATGATGTATTTATTTTATACCAGCTTTGTAAATTCTAATCTTAGAAGCTCATAATTTGTACTACCAGTCCTTGGAGAGTGTATTGGAGTCAGTTAAATATTAATTGAATTGGATAGTTGCTAATTGGCTTACCTGGCGGGTTGGGTTAGGTGCCATCACGACTAGATGAATTTTGGGTCGTGACAAGTTGGTATCAGAGCTCTAGTTTTATAGGTTCTACAAGTCATGAGCAAGTGTCTAGTAGAGTCTTGCGGATCAGTATGATGACGTCCATACTTATCTTCGAGAGGCTACCGGGCATTTAGGATAATTTTCATCTTTCTTTTCTTATCGTGCGGAATTGATTCAGCTTGAAACATAACTCTTTGAATTCATTCCACGCATTCGTGTGCGCATGTGAGCGCTTGGTATCATCATATGTGCATCGCCGGCTTGTGATTCCATGAACGAGGTTCGAGATGTGTATTATGTGTTTTGGTGATGGGCCAGTCTGGAGGACTTGAGGCCAGGTTTAGACCGCAGCTTAGGCTCGGTAGCTTCAGTTGTATGAACTTGTATATTTGGACTCATATATCTGGTAGTGTCCATGTGACGAGAATAGTTTGCTTGAGATGTAAAAAAAGAGGGCAATTGGGTGCTTGGTGTCTGTCTTCATTTGACATATAGTCTCGAGTATGAATCTGTTGAAGGATCTTTCATGTTATTTAATGGTGGAGCGAAGTAGATTTTCATGTCTTGTTGATGAGTTCGTACTTAGAGAGATTAAGTGATCGTGTAGTGATTATGGCTGCGAAAGGGTATATCAAGAAGCCAATTTTAGGCAAAACATGTGGGTTATCTCATGCGGAGTAATCTATGAAGGTGTGCTCCTTATAAAGTTGAGCGGAGAGTTTCTTTTATATCAGCGGGGTGTATGTGTTGAGATCTGAATTTGAATCTAGTTGAGAAAGTTGACTTGACTGTCAAGAGAATAAATGCGAGCTTAGCGGATGATTGAGGTATTTTATGGTTGGTGTGGCTTGATCTTGAGAAGAATTTTTGTTGAACTGACTATGGTATTATGGCAGTAATAGAGTATGGATATTGTGAGTTATGGAATATTTTATTCTATGATTTTGAGACAAGTGGGGGAGTCTGCTATCACCGATTTGATTGCACGGTTATGTGTTGTATTGGTTTTGGTCTGAGTCATACTTGTGGATTAGTTATGACTTGTAGAGGTTGAGATGAAGGATGAGTCGAGTAAGAAAATTCCTGGATACAGGTTATGTTATACTTTATGAGCATATGAAAATCACGGAATGAGTTGAGTCGCTATTCGTGACGGATGTAGTTTGCACGGTGTATGAATTTATTCGGTTGTGTTAAGGCATGGTTACTTCTTTGGGGTGTTGTTGTACTAATTGAGCATAGGCAGTTCGGCCCGTTTGGGCGGTGCAATTGATATTTGAGCAGAGTGGATGACTCTCGAGAAAGTTCTAATGGATTCAAGATTAATATGTAGCAACTGATAATTTTTGGCGGATTTGTATATGGCTAAAATCTGAGATTTTAGTTGGATGGTGTAGAGACTTGTGACATTTTTGTTTTATATCATTATGAATTTTATATTTCGGTATCAGAAAGGTGAAGGCACCACAACAAAAAAGACTTTTAGCGACAAAAGATAATCCCTTTAGCGGCAATAACAATAGCCGTAAAATCTTTTACCGGCAATTAATCATTTGCCGTTGAATCCACCGTCGCTAAAGGCTTTAGCGGCAATAAATAAGAGTGCTGGTAAAGCCCCAAATTATTGACGCTAAAAGGTCTGACAACTAGTGGTAATTATCTGCCGGCAATTAAAATGACCACTAAAAGTGGTTAAGGGATATCTTAGTTCATACATTTAGAGGCAATCACACTTGCCGGTAAAGACCAACTTAAATGTCGATAATGGTAACATCTTTTAGTGGCAACTAAATCTGCATTTTTTGCATTTAATAAATTTTGTTTGTGGTTAACAAATATTCAATTTATTGGAGATAAAAATGTGACATTTCTAACAGCATTTGCTATAGCCTGAAATGATAAAATAAACACTCTGCTTTTATTCATTCTAACATAATGATAATATTCACTCTACAAAATAATATTTCATTACATATACAAACAAAATGACAAATCCATAGTTTTTACAGTGTCAACACCAAAAAAGAAGTACACAACTTGAATGAGCAACTTAATACAATCTCTGTTCACCAGCTTTGCAAACCTACTTGCTTTGTTGACTCCTTTTCGCAATCCAATCTCTCTTCACCAGCCGGAAAAACTGTACCTTAAAATACAGAAGAAAGCGTAAACTTTATTAAATCTAATTCACTGTGCCTTGAGAACAAATTCACAAATTTGGTAGCCTCTGATTCAGTTTATCATCTCCTACCTCCAGTTCAAAATATAATTCAGGCAGTGTTCCAACGCTCCAAGAACTTGTCTGACTAGCCTATCAATGTTGGATTCATACGTGTGCCTACCCCAATGAGAATACTTCAGCAGATTCATAGCAAAAATTTCTATAATCTAGAAAAAAATTACTACACAATTTAAGTCAGTAGAATATTAATTTGACTCCAAGAATGCTCCAAACAACTAAAGTAAGCACACGAAATATTTTAGATCCACTTAAAAGCACTCATTGAAACAACAAAGACGAGGCAGTACCGAGTGATTTATATCCTCATGAACATATAACAATGTGAAAAATAAATCTACTTGATTCCCCTGAGACAAGCTTTTACTTTTTCTTCTAGGCATTGAAAAGCACATGGAGGTTCTAGCAGTAGAAAGATACAATAGATGTTAAGATTAAATCTGAAAAACCACCTTATGAGTTTAAAGCCTAACTATTCTATAATTTGAACAAATTCTAACAAAAAAAATCAGAAACGGAGCAGGTAACTACACTGCCAACTTTCTGAAAGAAATTTACACATAAATTCCATTGTTGAGCACAGTAAAAATCACCTAATTTCAAGATTCATATTCCTAAGTGGCACATTGCAGCAAAACATACTAATCAGTAGGCTTTGTTCCAGCTCAAAAAAATTTAATATATAGAGCATTTAAAGTCTGCTTGGCATTTTTTATTTTTTATAAGCATATACTTCGTTTCTCTTTTTAATAATTTTGATATGTTACTCGACAAAGAAAACATAGTGAAGTATATTTTAGATTTTACAAAATACTAGAATTCAAATAACTTAGCATGAAAGATGCAACTCTCAACAAACATATGATGTATAACTCCAGTTATTCATTCCAAATGACTTAGAATTTGTACAAAAGCTTAATAATCGATTAAAAAAAGACTAGTACCTGAATACTTGGTCTTGGACCGTTCAGCAGCGGAAAATACAAACACCATAAAATAATCATCTCATGCCAAGCATGTAGACTCACAGAACTATTTCTTTTACCTTTGTTTTTCAAAATAAAAGAAAAACGTGTAACTTTAGAACTGAAATAGCTAGAAGTGAAAATAAAATGAATGTCAAAATATGAAATCTAATGTAAACCAAAATTGGTATACCTTCCATCAAATAACTTACACCAACAGTGTGGACATAATAAAGTTGGAAAAATATCTTCTATCTTAGCAGAATTGATACGTACGGTGGATGCATTAGTTAACTTACTTCAATAGTTTGGACATATGATGCTTAATAATTTGGCTTGATAGATGAAGAATATCAATATTGCACATAGAAGATAACAATTAAATTGTTTAATAAGAAAAAAAATACTACGCCGTGAAGACAAGAATCCAAGTTTATTACGGCAAAACACATTAGATACATGCATGCATGCATATATATATATATATATATATATATCTTGAAAAGTTAGTCGCATGAACATAAATGGAACAAGGAGGATAGAACAATTTAGTTTTCAATTATAAGAACAATTTATGAGTAGAAAATATAGTAATAATGTTGCCTTCAAGATTTAAGAACTTCATACGAAATTCGCTTCTAATTCTTCTTTATACGAGACAACTTTGGAATACAACCAGGAATGTTTCAACTCAAAATAAAGTAAACATTTGATTAACATGATAAGTAAGTGAAGCAAAACTAGTCCGTCAATAATTCACATCTAACGAATAATATAAAGAACTAGATTAAATAGCTTAAAAACATATTGGATAGACATGTTTTTTCATACATAAATCAATTCATATTACTGCAAATATTTGAACACCATTTATCAGATGTAGTAGCATTATCATATCAAGAACAAGTTTTCACCGCAATGACATAACAAATAACTAGAGATGTAATCCAAAAAAACCCGTTACTATATTTCTATAATCTCCATTATCAACAGAAAGGGAAAACTAACTTTATTAGAGTATGGGACAAGACAACACGATGTAAAGACATAAGAAACATCCCCATATTATGAATTCTCCTGCACTTCTTATAAAAAATATTAGTAATTAAATTATACTCACTAGAAGCAGTTTAAATGCATATCAATTTGATTTTATATCAAAAGTGCCTGCCTTCAACAGAATTTAAGAAACATACCCGTATTTCCAATCCAATTACCAAATGAAATCTCCATTTTTTCACAAGACCGAATTCACCAGAATGCATCTTAAATTTTACTTTCTTTTTCTCAATTCTGTATCAAAGTTATGGATCAAATTTAGGTTAGGTAAGTCTACATTGAACCTTTCCAATAGAGGTTCTAGAGAAAAGCAAAAATGGCTGAGAATTAATGAGGCCTACCAGCAAAGGAAGAAGAAACACATAAGGTCTAAAGTACAGAGAAACGAACAAAAGAGAAGTGAATTTTGACTAGTAAAGAAACCTTAGTTCTTCAGGATCGATCAAATCTGTATTTAATCTAATCGGCATAAGAACCTAAAGAAGGCACACCTTCTTCTGCACTCACTATGAACGCAAAATTAATATTTATACACTTTTGCTTTGCATTTCACGAGTTGAGGGTCATCAAAATCAAAACCAAAAGAAAAGAAAGCGAGAGATTACCTGGTGATGGTGAGAGAAATGAGTTGGGCGCTGACAACGATGATAGAGAGGGAGAGGTCTGCTCAAATTTGAGACTTACTGTGGCAGAGAATACCTATTTGCAACTTGTCGGAGAATGTGTGTTTGCACTTTGCACAATGGAGGGAGCGAATATTTTTACAGGAAACAGTTGGAGGGAGAATAAAACCACTGGAAATAGACTTAATTTTTTAACCTTTACTGGCCATTATTTTTCATGGCTGGTAAAAGAACACGATTTCATGGCAAATACACAAATGCCGCTAATGTTTGTATATTGAGAGAATTAAATTACCGGCAAGTAGCTAATTCCCACTAAATAGTTGTCGGTAAAAGCCTTTTTGTGGTAGTGAGGAAACGACTTTAGATAAGGTATTTTCGGACTGGCTGTTTCGGTTGTGGTATTTATGGGGTAATTATGATGTGGCGAGACTTTACAAATATTTTGGTGGTAATATTATTGGGTTTGGTGACTTGCGTGGCTTGGTAGAGTTAGGGAGATTCAGCTCTAATAGCTTGGTTATGTGCAAATAGATTTCAAAGTATTCTTGATGGTTTCTACCATGGTTATAACCGGATATTTTCTACCGATATGGAGAACGTATTGTGTATTGTGATTTACTCCGGGAAGAAAGCAAGAGGAAAGTTTCTAACTAACCGGGTGTGTAATTTGCTGGTGACTCAGAGTTCATAATAAGATTATTGTGCTTGTCACATGATGGCATGATAGATTTACATGTACAAGGTGGCAGTTCAGTCTTGAAGGGAATGTCACAAATTTTGGACAAAATGATTAGTTTTAGTTATTTAGAGGAATGTTATAACTGCTCAGTAATCCCTGAGAAGGATGCACATTTCAGAAGGCGCATTGTGTTTTGACTTACAAATATTCATCGGTATTGTGGTACTCACCTCGTTGATAGACTGCTGATATTCAAATTATTGCTATGTGGCACGGAAGAATTATGGAAGTATTTCTTGTGGGATAATCGTGCATGAAAGATGTGTTAGTCATTCGAATGCTAGAGTTGGGATCAGTTATAATGATTCATGTGTCATATGAATTTGGAGACTGAGAGTTCTCAGAAGCATATTGTTTCAGGGTTGCGACCTGTTTGAGGTGACTATTTTATTTAAACTCAGTGGAGGCACTAGTTGCGTTAATTATTTGTGATAGCTACGCGCTATGAGTGTGCATATATGTGAGGTTTGAGCTCATGTGCGGGTATCGGGGCAAGTATTCATACTCAGAAGAATGCTTAGGCTATGATATGCCTAGAGTTGGCTGTTAAGCATAAAGTTATAACATTTCTCGTATTCGTACCTTTGTGGAGAACTATCTGGGCTATACTTGAGGTTACAAAGAGGCTAATTCCTTGAGTAAACTTGGTAGTTACTATTTCTGCGTTAACTTGCCGATTTGAGTTATCATAACAGACTTTGCACATGCCTACACTATGGCGTGTTATTTATACCAGTCCAGGAGCATGAGAATCTGATTTCATTATCATATACATGTGTACTTGTAACACCCCAGAAATTTTTTAAAGTATTTTAAGACCATTAAGAAGATTGGCAGATACTAAATATATCAATTCGGGTATGAACAAGACTGTTAATTTGAATGATATCAATTGATCATGATAATATATGTATGAGGTGCACTAAAAATGGTTTAGGGTCTAAGAAGAGCCCTAAGGCTAAGTCAAGTAGTTTCAAGTGAGTTTGCACAAGATCTAACTTCAAACGAGCATAACTCTCAAGCTATGAAGAGTTATATAGTGTATAACCTATCAAATTAAATCTCTTTGAGGTCTAGTTTCCCACGCGTCAAACCGTTTGTCATTTGGAGATTTATACAAGAAGTTATGACCATTTTACTAAAGAGTGGCAGAACAGCTACGCGAGTCTTGCGTAGCCTACGCAGATTTGCGTAGGCAAAATCAGTATGGAAGTGAGGGGAGGGTTAAGCTGCGTAGCCAATCTGCATAGGCTACGCAGCCAGCCTATGCAATTTATTTTTTTATAAAACAGGAGAGGTTCAGGGAGAGAGAAAAATATAATAATTTTTGGCTAAGTTTTGGGTTCTAGAGAGAAGGTGGAGCATTCTCAACCCAAATACACATCAAAGGTAAGTTTTATGATATTTTTATAATGGATTAACACTAGTTAATGGTAGTGTTAACATCTACATGGATTGAAATTCATAGAGATTTCTCTAATCTTCAAGAATCATTCAAAAGGGTTTAAGTTAGGGTTTGAGCTACAAGAGGTAAATTCTCTACTCTATACTTAAATACAACTATGGATTAAGTATTTGGGATGTATTATGAAGTAGAAAGTACCAATTGGTTGAAGAATTATGCTAATCCTTGAAATGAGTATTATGAGTTAGGGTTCTTAAATGGAGAAGAAGATGAATAGTGAATTTTTGAATTTTGTTAGGATGGTTGGTGATTCTAGTGCTTCAATAGCTTAATAATGATAAACTAATGAATCATATAACCTAAATTGGGAGCTAAGGATGAAATCTATTAAGGATCAAAGGTATATGCATGGGTGAATTGGGCTTGTTGAAGACTTTAATTGAAGATTTGAGGGTCGAGTTGATGTCGGAATTTGGTAAAATTTGTATGGTTGGACTCGTGGTTGGATGGGCGTTCATATTTTTTAACTTTTATCGAGTTCCGAGATATGGGCCCCACAGGCAATTTTTGGATGAAATTTCGAATTTTTATGAAAAATTATATTTTCATATGGAATTAATTCCTACAATTCTTTTTGACTGAATCGAATTATTTGTGGCTAGATTCGAGGCGTTTGGAGGCCAATTCACGAGGCAAAAGCATAGCAGAATAGGAAATTACACAGGTTGAGGTAAGTAACAGTTTTAAATTTGGTCCTGAGGGTATGAAACCCCGGATTATTGAATTATGTGAGTATTCTGGAGGTGATGCACATGCTAGATGACGGGTATGTGGGCATGCACCGTAGGAATTGGGACTTGGTCCATTCTGTGAAACTGTAAAGTTGTATAACTTGTTGCTAGATATATGCTCTCCCTGTGTTATAGAGATTTGACTGCAAATTATGTTATAAACCATGTTTAGGCTATATGTTGGTACTGTTGGGACCCACATAGGTCGTGTACATGTTGAACTACATGCGTAATTGTTGTTTTGTACTCAGTCACAATTTACTTATTTATTTTATCTCAGTCTCTATTGTTCATTATTGATGCATCATATCATTGTTGTTTGGGTTGATTTCATGATTAGTGAGAGCCCGAGAGACTGGAGAGATTTGTGACTGATTGAGGCCGAGGGCCTGATTGTGAGATATTATATTATAGCACGTGAGTTATCCGTGCAACATGTGAGTTGTCCGTGTGGGACATTATAGCACGTGAGTTATCCGTGCAACATGTGAGTTGTCCGTGTGGGACATTATAGCACGTGAGTTGTCCGTGCGGGATATTATAGAACGTGAGTTGTCCGTGCGGGATATTATAGCATGTGAGTTATCTGTGCAGATCATTGTATTATACTATAGCACGTGAGTTGTCCGTGCGGATCCAGATATTTATACTATGGCACATGAGTTGTCCGTGCAGCACATGAGTTGTCTGTGCAAATTATAGCGCTTGGGCTGTAGGAGCCCCTCCGGAGTCTGTACACCCCAAGTGAGCGTGGGTACCCATTGAGTGTGAGTGCTGAGGGCTAAGAGCCGAGTGGTTGAGTTGTTGTGACGAGTTGAGTATCTGTTGCCCTGAGAGGCTGTACTTGCTTTTCATTTGTTGTTGCACTTAGTTGCTATCTGTCATTGATGTGAAATTCTCTGAAAGATTTTATATCCAGATTACATGAACTTGAACTGTATAAAACTGATTTGACTTAAACTTTTGGAATTGAAAGCATGTCTACTCTCTGCTGGAATTACCGAAAATGAATTGTAACTGTGTAGCTCGGTATTATCTTCAGTTCCTTATTTATTATTGTTACTTGCTGAGTTGGTTGTACTCATACTACACCCTACACTTCGTGTGCAGATCCAGGTATTCCCAGACATGGCGGGTGTTGATTCTCTCACACAGTTGATTTTTCGGAGATTTAGAGGTAGCTGCCGTGTTTCGCAGATCTTGTCTCTCCTTCATTATCTCCTTATTACTGTATTTGGTCTCAGACTATCATAGACCGTATTTTTCAGACTTGTATTCATATTAGATGCTCATGTACTCAGTGACACCAGGTTTTGGGGAGTGTTCATATCAGTATTGTAGGATTTTGTATTGTATTTAAATATTACGTTTTCAAACTTAAAGGAAATCGGGGGTTATTGATGTTATCGGCTTGCCTAGTTTTGAGATAGGCGCCATCACGACAGGTCAGATTTTGGGTCGTGACAGTACTTGTTTAATTGCTCCTGTATGATATGTTGTGACTGGAGGCATATGACCATGCCAGACGATATATATTATTGGCAAGTGAGTTGTCCGTGCGGATCTACATATTGGTATCATTGACCCGTGAGTTGTCCATGCAGTGTGTAGGAATTTCATTTCTTTGATAATTTATCTTATTTCATTATTTTCCTTCCTCTACGATAAAAATTATTTGAGCAGTGTATTTGAGGAATTGTGTACATGCGCCTACGGTTATCCTCTTCACGAAATTTGAGGAGGTGGTTGTAAATATTAGGTTGTGTTGGGTTTGCAAGTCAATAAAGTGGTTATGTTTGATGAGATGAGGTCACTGGACCTAGAATGAGTACTATCGGATTTAATTACGGTATATTTGGGCGAATAATATTAAAAGTCAGCTTAGAAAGTGATTATGGTTCTGGTTGGGGCGGGAGGGCTCCATGACTAGTTGATCTGATGAGTGGTTATGAGTTTTTGAGTGTTTCTTTCATTATTGGCAGTGTACGGAAGTTTTTGATATGAGGTTTATCAACGGTATCGAGTTCATTTTTTAGGCAGCTATGGTGATTAGAAATTATTGCTACGAGTATGCGAGTTGTGTAGTATGTTATGTGACTATATCTGGGGTCATGGTTATGGCTTGATACAGCTTGTTCAAACTTATATAGTGTGTAAATGTGAGACTCGGGTCTTGTAAGAAATTCTGGATGTTAGAAATTGGGTTCTAAGTTTTACATACTAAGATTAAAGTAATGATCTTCAATTATGTTGCGTTGCCAGGCCAATATGGAATAGGGTGGCATGGGATCACCCCCGGTTATGTGTGTGGTAAGGTGGAATAGTGA